CACCTTCCTGTGCTGAATGGCGGCGCAGGAATTAGCCCCTAATTCTTTTGTGACCCTGGGCAGACTGCACCCCTCTGGGCCTCATGGTCCCCAACAAAGTGAAAAAATAAACAAATGTGCAAAAATCCTTTAAACTCTCTTGTGCATCTAAAACTTCTATCTGAAGATGTCGGACATGATCTCTCTCCACCCTGGAGACTCTAAAACTCCATGCACCATCCCCTGAGCTTTGATTCCAGGAGCTCTTTATTCTGAGCATCGGTTTCTGCACAGCCCATAATCAAGGATTCAACCTCTCTCACTGCTGGTGTCCCCTCTGGAGAGGAAATAGCCCAGTCGGGTTTTGTGAGCTGGCATTCTCCCCTTCAAACATAATTGCGGTCCTGCCCTGGGGACCGGGTAGAGAGAAAGAGAGGCTTTCTTCCTAATCCATTAGTATACTGGTTTGTAGTTCTTGCCTTTAAGAATTATGTTAGAGGGAGGAACTCATGAAGAAAAGATACTTTGCCAAGGTGGGGCGTTAGTTTTCTACGGTGGCCATATCAAATTACTACAAACAGCGTGGCTTGAAACAACAGAAATTTATTTTCTTAACCGTTCTGGAGGCCAGAAGTCTGAAACGTCGATGTGAGCAGGGTCTTGGGCTCCCTCCAAGAGCTCTAGGGGAGGATCATTCCTTGCTTCTTTCAGCGTCTGGTGGCTCCCGGTGTTCTTGTCATCCACTTTCTGCCTCTGTCTTCCCCTCTTCACCTTCATGAGGGCGCTCGTCGTTGGATGTAGAGTGTGTGCGGGGAAAACGAGGGTGACTTATCTAGAGATCCTTATTTCATTACATCTGCAAATCAGGTCCCATTCACGGGTTTGGGGAGTTAGGATACAGACCTATCTTTTGGGGGGCTACCACTCGACCCGCTATAGGTGGCTCGACGGATGGGCTCCTGGCCAGGCTCACGAGTGCTCGGCTGGCGGTGGGTACGGGGGTTACTATGGCAGTGTCAGGGAGAGGGATGGATGGAAGGGGCGTGCACCTGCCCCCTGCCGACATCGGCTGGTGCTGTCGTCACAGCCCTGTCTGCTAGTGAGGGCCATGCTGGGGACCCATCTCTCTTCCTTTCCAAAGGAGGAGACTGTATCAGTACCTTAGGTTTGGCTCTGCGACTGTCACAAACAACTCCAAGATCTCAAGAGCTCATACGCCAAATGTTTTTCTCGCACTCGCCTGAGGTTTCTGACAGGCTGACTGCAGGACTGCTCCGGGTGGCCTTCACTCGGGGACCGGGCTGACGGAGCGGTCAATTTGGAATATGGCCAGTCTTGTGGCAGAGGGAGAAAAGCGTGTGGTAAACCTCAAGGTGGCTCTTGAATCTTCTGCCTGGAAGTGACGGATGTCACTTCTGCTCATTGCCCCGGCCAGGGCTAACCATATGGCCAAGTCCGATGTCAGCGAGGAGGAGAAATATCCTCTTTCCCCAGGGAGGGGCAGTGAATATTTATGAACCACAGTAAGGCAGGGCCCAGGTGCTGTAGGAGGAGCCCCTCTGTCTGTTGAGAAGCCGCAGAGCTTCCCACACAGGGAAGATGGCTGCTCACCCGGGCTTTCTCAAAACCCTTAGCGCTCACTTCTCCAAGCACCGTGCGGTCTGCATGTTCTGACTGCTCCCCACTCTTTATCCCATGTTCCAGTCCCCCCATCCCTCCTCATTCCTCATCTCCACAAAAAAACAAAACAAAACCCAACATTGAGTTACGGTTGCGTGCCATTGTCTGGGAGACGGCTGTTGGAGCTTTGCCTCCTAAACAGCCCCCACGGCAAGTTTAGAGCAGGTTATTTTCACAGCAGCCGCAGGAAGAACACTTCCCTCCGTCCTCTGTTTGCAGAGGCTCTGAGAAATGGTCAAGGACTCGGCCCCGCAGCCACAGATGGACTTATCAGGGGATCCCAAGAGCCTCAGCAACTGAGGCAGGAGAGGCATTAGGGAGGGGTGGGGAGTGCAGCTTCTAGGAATCTGGTGTTTCCCGGCTGGACCGCCAGCCTTCTGCGAGGCCCTTACATTGTGAGTAAAAGCGTGTTAAGAGTCGGTGTCCAGTGCACGTCTCTTTTCTGCCAGGACCCACAGCTTACGTCCCAAGGAAGATGTGAACCCAGAAAGATCAAGGACCATGGGATCTAATCGCATCCCTTCATTATATGGGTGACATAGAAATTGAGGTTTGGCTCCCTGTTCCAAATGGACTGACTCTATTGAACATATTAGCTGATAACTTCATCAAGAGCGTTTCCCCTAAACCTTGGTTTTGCTTCAGTGAGTTCATTTCTGTAATATTACAACACACTCTGGGAGAAAGGAAGACTCTTTGGAAAGTTACATTGACTTTTAAAGCCACAAGGGTATCCTTTGGGACATTCCTACCTTGGTGGTTATTACCCTTTGAGGGCCTGCAGAGCTACCTCCAGCCTTCCCCTTGGTCTCCGTGGGGACTCATTACGTCTCTAACAAGCAAGTGTGAAGACTGACAGCGCTGGCGTACCAGAGGGTTTGCTGAGGGAATTTCACAAGCCGGGACTACTGCTGTCTTGCGCGGCAATTTACATCCCGTGAAGCAGAAGAGAGAGCGACTGGGGCGGACAATGGTAATAGAATTGCATCAATATTACACGGATGCCAGGCAGAGAACCGATGTGTTTTAAAACAGCACAGGCCTATCCACCCTCCTCCTTTTTCAGGAAACTGGTTGCAGGTGAACAGTATTTCCTTTGTACAGATAAAGAAACAGAGGATCAATCATTTATTAAATATTTATTATTTAGTATTTCCTAATAGGGCCCTTGGATGGGGCTTCAGGGGGTCTGTGAACCCCTGAAATGATCTGCCAAGACAAGTGTGTATTTGTACGTGCATTTGGGGGGAGGGGAGAGAGAGGAGCACGTGATTTTCATCAAAATCTATAAAGTTCTGTGACTGTGAAAGGTTCAGAACCCCTTCTATTATAAAATAATTGGTAGATTAACCCCAACCTTGACATGGAGCCCTATCTTTTTGACGAGTTCTCTCCTTTTTTGCTTTGGTTGCTCACCTGCACAGCAGCAGACAAACTAGAAAGCAGGAACGATTGTGGAAGAGTCCCATTTAGATACGTTTCCCTAACTCATCTCTGCTCTGGAAAGTTTAAAAATTTTACTTCCACTTACGATAGTCCTGACTATGTTAGAGGCCCAGTCGGTTAGAGTGGAAAGAAACACATCAGGATTCATGGATGGGAAAACTGAGGCCCAAGACGTTGATCGCATTCACATAATAAATCAGTGTTTGAGTTAGTATGCATCCCTTTTTTGAGAAATCAACTCCAATCTCAGTTGGGAACCTCTTGCCAGAATTTCTTAACAAATGACAATTCAGCATGACTCATTTTTTTTTTTTTTTTTTGACATCATGCAAATGAGGGGAAAAGACTGAGTGGCTTTCTATCTAGAGATCAGGAAATGAAGTCTGTCTGGGGCCACACATTCCCTGGGGACATGAGGTAGTGTCAGAAATGGGTTCTGGAAGAAGCGGGCCTTTGTCCATTTCTGTTTCATGAGGGAGCTCCTCCTCTTGGCCATGGCTGGAGGGGAGGCTCCCCACCCACACTCCCAGGGAACCTTACACCCAAGGCAACCTCGTTAGGACTCCCACCAGGTTTTGCTATCTCTACAGCTGCCATCAGAGGCCCTTTTCCTCCTAGCCTCATTTCCCACTGAGGGAAACGTTGACTTTTCTAGATAAGGTGTTCTGAGCCAACCAGTCCCTCTCACATGAAGCAGAGCCACAGTCATTGGGCCCCTTATACCGGGGCCCCCAAGAAGCCCCGTGCTAACACTGTTAGGGTAGGCAGGATTTTATTTTTAGATGGCTTTTTGCCTCATAGGTGGACTTCCTTCTGGCCTGAGAGACTCTGGACCTCTGTGACTTCCATGAGGAGTAAAGTCCAGTGTTAACCTCACTAACCAGGGGTCAGTTCCAGAAGCTGGCCATGCCCTGGTTTCTTCCAAGAGGACAAAACAGTGTTTCTCAGACGGGCCTGTGATAGGGCACCTCAGAAATGCAGTGATTTATAAACAGGATGTTATTTCCTATACAGTAGGATCCTTTTAGATATTATTCACTCACTGGACAGGAAGATGAGGAACCTGAGGCCCAGAGAGGGTCAGTGGCTGCACCAGGGCCCAGAGCCAGGGGGTAGCAATTCTGGGCAAGAGACCAGGTTCTGGTGGCTGAGCCGAGATGCTTCCCCATCTTTCTATATTCCTTCATACTTGCGCAGTCTTCCTCAAACTTCAGTCTCCAAATTGTGCCATGGGTTAATGTGGGGGCCCTCCAGTCACAATTTCAAGAACTAAAGAATGCAGATCCTCAGATCTGCCAAATAACATCGCAGGCACTTCCACTTTCAAACTATAGTTTAAGTGGTGGGGGTCCCTCCGGGCCTTGGCAGCCAGGGGACCGCACTCTCTCTGCCTTAAATCCTCCCCGGGCAGGCCAAGCCCAGAGCCCGGGGCTCCTGCCGTGATTAGGCCTCAGCAAGTTCTCCATGCACACACGTCCAAGGCGAGTTTTGTGGGAACCGGGTCCTCATCACCTGCCACTAGAGACTGCAAGTCACTCCTCCTCCCCCTGCTCCAGTCCCTCTCCGTGGTGCAGGAGCCAAAGGGGATTTGGGATAAAGGAGCCACAGGCCCGGGCCCAATCCAGCCCGGGGAGCTTAACCAGAGGCAAGAGGATAACTCAGGCCAGCACACTCACCTCCCCGGGGAAGGAGGGGTGGCCAGGCAGCCAGAAGGAAAACTCCTGGGCTTTTTATTGAATCCATAAAACAAAAGGTGAGGGGTTTCTGGGCAGGGGAGGAATGCATGGTTATTTGTGGCGCTGGTCTGCAGAGGAGGAGAACACGGAACTCCTTCCAGCTCTGCGCGTGATTCATCTCCCCGGGGAGCGCCGGGGCCGGGGCGGGCGTGCGCTAGCAGCCCGGGCTCCGGCACACTCCGGCCGCCCGCTTATTTACGATGCTTTATCAACGGCTGTGCGCGGCGATAAAGTTTATGAAAAGAGGCGGCGTCTGCGGCCGGCCGGCGGCCCGCGCTCCTTTCCCACACTGATTAGGATCAGCCAGGGCTTTGGAAGCTGCAGTTAAGGATCTCGGGTGCCCGGAGCCGCGTCTCCCCCTTCCTGCCCCGCCCGCCCGCCGGCTGCTGGCCCGCGTGGGAGCCGAGGTCAGGGCTGCGGCCAGGCTGGGGTGGGGGGCGGGGAG